TGCTGAGCTACTTGTATATTGTAGTAGTATTAAGAAAGTTACTCTTTTTTTTTCCCCACTCACTGCTCAGTTATCAAGGGTGCAGCTTAAGAGCAATTTTAACAGATTTTAACATAAATATTTATTCAGTGAAAAAGTATAAAGGCCTTTTAGGTAGTTATTTTGTCAGAAAAAGCAGGCTTAATGAGACATAGCATTTGTAACAGACCATTTTAAATGGAAACTTAAAGGTATTCCTATTCTTTTCTTTCCTGGATGTGCTTCAAGAAAGGGTGAATAAAAGTTTTATTCCTAGAATTGGACTATATGGGGTTATTCTGCTGAATTCAAGTACCTACAATATCTGAACTGGCATCAAGTATGAAAAGGTCCTTTAAAGACTTCTCCAAATGCAGCTTTTCTAACTGCAGTGGAACACCATCTCTGACAAAACAAGACACAAAAGGGGGATATAAATAAAGGACCTTTTTTCTTTGTGTGTGCTTGTGTGTGTGTGAGAGAGACAGAGAGACAGAGATGGAGGGAGGGAAGGAGCGAGGGAGAGAGAATATGTATTTACAAGATAGTTAGGATAAATATACAGCTACTTTCTCTTAGTTCATTGAGAGGAAAGGTTTGTACTAGTATTGTTTACACAAGACACCATGTCTGCATCTTGTCCTCTGACTAACTATTAGGAAGACAACAATATGCAATGTATTAATTATTGTAACTGTCCTACTAACCTGTCTTGAAACTGTTTCACTGTTATTTTATCTTTTTTTCTCATTAAAATGAAAAAAATAGATAATACAGCAACCCTTGTTAATCAGGTATCCCTGTTTTAAAAATCTGGAACATATGTATTGTTGTATGTTACCCTGTTCCTGTCATTTTTTCTATTTGTCTTTGCTTCTGTTTTAACTCTTCAAAATAAAATAAAATAAAAAGACTGGTGATGAGGGCCAGGGAAAGGGTTCAGTAGAATAAGCGCTTGCCTGGCGAGCGCAAGGGCCTGAGTTCAATCCCTGGTTCTGAAAAAAAAAAAAAAAAAAAAGACTGGTGATGACAATTCTAACTGTATCACTGTTCTTTTCCTAGGAAGCTCGTAGAGACGCATCTGAAAGCCATCCCCAGTCATGCATTTTCAAATCTCCCCAATATTTCCAGGATGTAAGTCAATTTTTAATATAAAGAGAAGTTTCTAGCTGTGCCCATGCTACTTTCTCAAATGTGTTCTGTCAAGAAAAATATTTATTATGTTTCTTGCAAATGTTAGACATTTACATTTAATGTATTTGAAAATTTTATGCACCTGGTATTTGTCTAATTTTGCTTCATCTCTACTTATTAATTAATAGATTTTTTTTTGAAACAAAACCTTAAGCAAATTTAAATTGGTTTGGTCCTGAGAAGTTCATCATTCGTGGCTTTTTTAATATATCTTGTAATATGGTAGACCTTTAGCTGGGACTTTCTCCCATAAACAGATGTGTATGTCACTCTCTAGTCCAACTAGCCTAGTTGCAAATTGACCAGCTTCTCAACTAATACAAATGCTCACTGTTGGCCAAAAGTGTAACCAGTTAGCCAGGTGTGTGGTAGTACACGCCTGTAATCCCAGCACTCAGGAGGCTAAGGAAGGAGGATCATTGAGAGTTGAGACCAACCTGGACTACAAAATGAGCTCAAGGTCAACCTGAACTGCATAGCAAGACCTTGGCTTTAAAAAAAAAATGTGACCAGTGTTTGCAGACTTTTATACATTAACAGAAAGAAAAAAGAATTAAAAATAATTTTTAACCTTGAAAACTGAATTGCTGTATATCCAAAAGTAGGAGAAAAAGAACTTCTATGTTAGGCTGACAAGTAGTATGTCTATGAAATGAATTAGATCTTTATTTCACTTCACTAATTCTGATCTGCAATCCAGGTAACTCAATCATTCCAAATAATACCACCTGGCTATTATTCATTTGCAACCATTTGCTGTTTATTTTGCCACATTAGTAATTCTCACTCCAGTACAGTTATGATATTTGACTCTTTTGGTTGCCAAAACTGGAGAAGGCATTATCATGGCATCTGGTGGGTAGAAGACAAGGCTGCTTCCAAGCAAGTCACCCCAACAGGAGACCCCTGCTCCCAGCAGAGAGCCTGGCACAAAATGCCCACAGTGCTGCGAGACCATTCTCACTGTAATTCTCTGCAGTCTTGGATGCTGCTGTCCAGCACTTCTTTTTTCAAATTCTTACTGTTTTGGTTTCTCTGACATTTCTCTCACATTACCCTGATCATCTCACCTGATTCTTCCTCAGTCTCCTGTCCTGACTTTTCATTTTTAAAAATTCTTTCCAATGCCTTAAATATCAGCTCTTTCTCTGTGTATTCCATCCTATTTCCTCTGTACTCCACTCTCCTCGCATCAATGCCTTCATTCCCTACTCCTCACTATCACTGGTACAACTAATTCCTAAGTGAGCATCTCTAGGCCTGATTCACCCTTACAGTACAAGCCTTCAGGTAAAGCTTCGCAAAATCGATGTTTGATGTCCCATGAGAACTTGCAGTTCAGTTTATCCCAAATAAACACACCGTCTTGGCCCAGACTGCTCTTTCTCTACTCCTCTTAATAGTACCAGCATCTTGAACCCTAAAAACCTCAAATTCCTTTTAGCTCTTCCTTTTCTCTTTTGTCCTCAAAGAACTTGCCACTTGTTTCCAAACAGATGTCCCAACAGCTTAGCTATTCCTTCACTCAACAAGCATTTCTTGGGGAAAAAAAATTATTGAGCCCTACTTGGTGCCTACCACTTCATAAGATGCTCCCAATGTAGCAAGAGATGATACAGAGCTTGCACGCACTCCTGCATGAATACCATGATGGGGTCAGTTACTGAGTATGGCAGGTATTTCTAAGAGAGGCTGAATTACCTATTATCTGTACAGGAGCAGGAAAAGGCTGAGAAGGCTTCTGAAAAGAAATGATGCTGAACCTGTGATCTGCCTAGAAAATAGTATGAGAAAACATAGTTCCAAACAGGAGGGGGAAAAATCTAGAGTTCTGAGAAATTGGACTAAATTTGTTGGGACTGGAGCTTAAGCTGAGAAGGAGGTGGAAAAGAAGGAGAAAAGGATGAAGAAAGGAGGGACAGAGGCTGATGTGGCACCCAAGGGAGACACCGAATTGAATTCCACTCAGTGGCTTAGTGGAATAAAGAAAAGATACAGAGATTAAACAAACAACGAAGGGAGAATTTACAAGCTTAAAATTAATTGATTTGGACTTAAAGACAGAGATGAATTACATCTAAATTTTTGATGCAATTACATTTTTTTGATTATGACATCTGTGTCTTTGATGAACACAGTAATGAGATACAGGGAAAGTTTTCATGTTTTCACTGTGGAGGAGCACGAGGTAATTGAAGAATTCAGTTTAGAGTGTATGACCTTTGAGGTACAGATATAGTCAGTGGACACCATAACATAGAGATAATTTTTATTTATTTAATAAACCTATAACCTCAAATACGTAGCCTCTACTATGTGCCAATCACTATTCAAAAAGCTGTGGGTCCCTCAAGGAACAAATGGGTGGAAATCCATGTTCCCACAAAGGTTATATTCAAGTAGGAGGAGGCAGATTGTGAATCAAAAACATAATAAACAAGGCCAAGGAGACAGCTCAGTGGAATAAGTGTTTGCCTGGCAAGCGCAAGGTCCTGAGTTTGATTTCTAGTACTGGAAAAAAAACCCATAATAAACAAGTAAATTTTATGCCAATTTAGGAAAGCATACTGTATATTGGAAAAAGAAAAGAAAGAGTAAGGGACATTGAAAATTTGTGTACCTGAAGTGCTCAGAGGAGCTATCTGAGAAAAGATAGAGACTTGTGAGTCATAAACACACTGTAACTGGAACAGTTAAAAGATAGAGACTGTAACTGGAACCAGCGAAAGGTACTAGCACAGAGGGAGAACCAAAGAGTGAAAAGAGAACAATGCTAAGAACATGTAGTCCTTGAGTAGGTAGGAGTGAGTGCACTCGAAGCAGAAGGATTGACTTTATAGGAAGATGGTCACTTTTTTTTCCATATTAAGAAAGCTACAGTAAAACACAGGGCAGATGCAAGTAAATTAATATGCTATCGTGGGCCAGGGAGATAGCTAAGGGGTCTAAGTGCCTGCCTGGCAAGCTCAAGGACCTGGGTTCAATCCCTGGTACTGCATATGCCACCCCAGCCTGCACCAAGCCAGCCATGGAAACCAGGCGTGGTGCCATAGGCCTGTAATCCTAGCGCTGGGGAGGCTGAGACAGAAGGTCACCATGAGCCTAAGCTGCATAGGGAGACCCTGTACCAAATAAATAAAGATTTTTTTAAAAAAATATGCTATTGGTGGTGAATTCGAGGCATTCATGTTTCAAGATTTAAATCTTTTCTACAAATTATTAAAAGGTTTGTAGTAAGTTTGAAGCTAGAGATGAAAGCTCAAAACTTATGAGTAAGTTTTGAAAACAAAAATGTGGGCAGTAAGAGAAGAGTTGGCTAAAACATACAGGACACCCAGGAGGACTTGAAGGTCCATGGAGGCTTCTAGGGCAACAGGGCAGCATTCTCCAGGTATCTTTTCTGTACCCTTTGGGAGTACTTCACACCTCTGTACTAATCCCATTTGCTTGTCTGCATCCCCCATGAACAGGAATTCCTCAAAGCTAGGGCAAAGCTTGTTTTGCTAGTTTCCAGCCAGACATCTGACATAAAATAAGAGGTCAATAGTTGAATGAAAACAAATACATGTGCATACAAAGAAGGATGTGGTACAGCTTAGGGCAAGAGCAGAAGTCACCAGGATGGTTCTAGGTGCACCTGACGCAGTGCAGGCCCCCCCCCCCGCCCCCGTGAATTCTAGCATAAATATTAATAGCATAAAATATCCTATTTTAGATAATAAGTGACATAGCCACTGTAGTAATTATGTAAGATTTACATGATAAGTGATTTGAAGGTGAGATAGGATCTGATTTTTTTCCAGTTATAAAAATAAGAGAAAGTAAGCAGCGTGAGGTGGCTTTATCCCACTAAATGGTCCCTACTTACATGTCTCCGCACCTATGCCTTAACAGCCCTGAAAGGAGGAGCCTTTAATTTGAGAAACAAGATTTGGTCCCATGGTGTTGGTCCCACGGTCCCACGGCTCTCTCTCTCTAGGTTCTTGAGAAAGGCTCACACTTCTTAACTAAGAGCTTCAGTAGAAATCGTGGAGCAACGGCTGTGCCGCAAGCCTCAGGAAGCAAACCCGCGGGCTTCACAGTGCCTCTGGGCTTGCGGGTGGCGCTCCTGCACCCACGGCCAAACCTCCACGGCCCTTAAACAGTAAATTAGCCATTTTCAGTGTGTTCAGTTATTCCCTCTACAGGACACAGATAATATTTGGAACAAAACAATGTATATAATGTTGAGGTACACACGGTAAACAGTGGAGAGACCTGACAAATCTAGAGATAATTGCTGAAAGAATAGGTACTGCAAAGAAAAGCACAGGGAAAGGAGAGATAGCTCAGCAGTTATAAGGGCCTGCCTGGCAAGTCCAAGCTCCCGAGTTTGATCTGTGGTACAAAAAAAAAGATTACCAAAGAAAAGTGAAGGACCATTATGATATTAACAATAAACATGATTTTAAAAATTCAATATGAAACAATTAGTGCTCCTCTTACAAACATTGTGTGACTGAAATATTTTACCAATAAATTCAATCAAAAGTGGTTCTCAACCTTTCCTTCACATTATAATCACCTAGGAAGCTTTTGGAAAGTAAAAGTGCTTGATCTGATTTAGTTATCCTGGAGCAGATCTTGAATGTCTGTATTTTACAAGCCCCCTAGGTAGCTCAGTCGTGTCTGGGCTGGAGAATCTCACCTATGAGTAGAGCTGGACATTATCTACTACTCACTAACTTTCTCAAAAATCACTGAAATGGCTCTGAGTATAAAACGGTCATTGAATTTGTCTGCATTAGTCATTCTCCTTACAAGACAGAATTTCAGGGCTGACGAGATGGCTCAGTGGTCTACAGCACCTACTTAGAACAAGCTTAGCAAAGCACAGGGACCGCGTTCAATCCCCCAGCACCACATGCCAGCCAGCCCTGCCCCCTGGTGGGCTGAGCTGGCCACACACACACACACACACATAAATAAATAAATAAAATTAAAAAAAAAAAAGGACAGAATTTCAGTGAACTATTTAAAACTTTTTTCCTTTTCTATTCCTGAAAAGCTCTGTGTAGGAATTTCCCTTTACTCTTTTTTTGGCATTTAAAACTTTGATTTGAGTTACCTTTTGCTTATTAAATCCAAGATGAATCTTAAATTTTCTACCTTTCAAAATCAAAAGAGGTCATGACAGAATATGTGGTCATGACTCTGTGAAAAATTATTCTAGAGAATTGTGGGTTTTTTTCTCTTCATCCTTTTTTAAATGTTATTTCTAATTGTATGTGATTAAGTGCTCTCTTTTAAATGTTTCTAAACTATTTTAATGTCATTTACCAATGCTTTTATTTTTGCTATTTTGAGTAACGCGTCTGTTCGTTCATTTATTCATTCATTCACTTAACACATTTGTGAAGTGTCTGCCACATACCGAGAACTATGAAAAACACTCAAGATTCACTGGTCAAAAGAATACACAGTCCTTGAGTCCACAGAGTTTAATCTAATGAGATAATACATATCAAATATCCAAACTGCTGGAAGGGTGCACTGTGGTCGTTACTGAAAGGAGAAGTTTGTGACACCACAGAATCTTAAATTTATCATGAAGCAGGGAAAAAAGCTTCTAATGGAAATGACTGTGGAGACCTTAGGATGAATAAGACATAGAGTCCTGGGAAAGTTGACATATCATAGGATCTATATTAAAAGTAGCAATTAGTTTTTGCATAATTAGAGAGGACGCATACAGCCTCTGTATGTTCCATGTTCAGGGAAGTCCCTGACAAAGAAGTTACATCAAAAACAACACTTGGAGTTCCCGGCCTTACTAACTTTCTGCTTTGTCTCTGTTTTTGTGATGTTCAGCTACTTGTCTATCGATGCAACTCTGCAGCGGCTGGAGTCACATTCCTTCTACAATTTGAGTAAGATGACTCACATGTAAGTACCAGAAAAGGTGCACCCTAGACCCAAGTCACAGCCAATCTGGGCTGATAATCTAGACTACAAATGGCACTGAGGACTCATTTCTAGATCACAGGGTAGAACTTCTGCTTATGAGTAAATTCTCAACTTGTCTCACTAAGTTTATATTAACCAACCCTAATTATTTTTCATTTCCACTGTTGGAAGTTTAAGAGACCCTGGCCATGAATTGCTACTCTGTTACTACTATATGAGCAGATTTTATTGGTATGCATATCAATTAATGAATATATATTAAGTACCTACATGATCCTAGAGCCTGCATAAGATTCTACAAAACTGGTATTTTTCCTTAATTAGGAAAAAGAAAAATTGTTCAGTGATATTAAACAGAAGGAAAGATGATGCTAACAGTAGCTACGGAGTTGGTCAGAGTTGGATTTAAATATGGACTTTGGACTAATGTTGAAAAAATAATGTAATTTCTCATTTATACAATAAGCATGATAAAAACTCCAACTCAACTTGGTTATTATGAATATGAATATGAAGAGATATAATGCATGTAAGCATTTAGTACAATGCCTAACACATCAACTAATAAATATACTTCAGAAGTACTATTTCTGTTATCTCTCTGGTGCACTGAAATCTATGAGAGGTTTTACATAAGCCATCGCATTGCATTATCTTACACAGTCTTGAATTAGGAAATATAAACTATTGTCTTTTGGGGGTTACTGGGAATCAAACTCAGGACCTTGTGCTTACCAGGTAGGCGTTGTGCCTACATACAGAGAAAACGTTCCACTTTATAAAGAATATACAGAATGGCAGCAAAGAATATAAGATATACAAAGGGTCATCCCAAAATAGCTAAGTGGATCTGAAATTTCCTTTTGTGCACGTCATGTGCTGCTCAGGCCAGCATGAAGAGCACCTGCAGGTAGAGGAGAGCTAAACCGTGCTCACAAGCTTCCATGCGCACAAAACGCTACATTTTTCTGGTTCTATATCTAAACTTTTCCTTGTATTTCAAAGCTAACTTAAAACTAGAAGGTAAATACAATTTTAAAATTCTGTGAGTGAGAATCATTAAGCTAGGAGATCGATTTCTTAGGTGATAAATCAAAGCTCTGCAGAAGTGTGCTTAGATATCAGAAAGGCCAAAGCGAAGAGCCTGCATGACTGGGAATCCTGGGATTCAGCGACTGAAGCTGAGCTCTTCCCAGTAAGAGACAGCACTTCACGACGGATGCGGATTCTGTCTGCTATCCATGACATTCACGCATGTCACTCCTACTGCGGACCCCTCTGTGTTCACTGAGAAGTACAAATTTAACTCCAGAAAATACAAACACGGAGCATGAGTTTGAAGACACACAGTACAAACAGGAGTCAAGTGGAACGTGTCTGCAGTCATTTTTCTTTTTCTTCCTTAAAGGCTACAGAAAAGCTGCACATGAATAAGTAATCAAGTATCATAATAAAAAATATTCCCCTACAAATAGGCAAGGGGTCCAGTCAGATTCCACAGAGAGTGTGTCATATCACATTCTACTCCACAGGCACGCTTTCTCGCGAGTCTGCAGGGTTAGGAGCAACTTTTTCTGGAAGTACTAGTTCTCACAAACAGCTCCTTTATTGGTAAATATTGTGCTATTTCATTAGGTTCTGTGAAGAGGGGAGGTGGAACATGCGTTACACTAGCCATTTTGCTCTCTCATGAAGTATAATCTCGTAACATATAGTTCTTGTCAGCCTCATGGTAAACCCTTCTGTCCTTCATTCTGATAAGCACCCCACCCATTCTCAAGAAAAGCCACAAGTGCAGAAAAAAAGCTAGAAGACATTACTCTGATTTTCACACTCAGACTCAAAACTCCATGATCATGAAGTTCATCCTCAAAGAGAACCCGGAAGAATTTAATCTGTTCTCTGACTTTCAATTTCTCTGCGTTGATATGATCTGTTCAGGCACAACCTTGAATTTAAGAGTCTCCAGGCAAGGTTCCTTTATAACCTGCTGCACAGGTCCAATCCTGTGGTTTAAGAACCTCCCTAGAGTGCCCATCTTCCGTCCTGCCTTCCTGCCACTCTTCAGCACAGCTACCTTTCACATTCCGTGGCAGTTCTTTGCATACTTTAGTGCATCTGAATCCTGAATCCAGAACCACGCTGGATTCTTACAACGTTGTCTCCAAACACCATTCCTGGGAGAGAAGGCATGTGCGATTCATCCGCTAGCTTCTCCGCGTCTGCTTACTTCATGATGTGTGTCTTGGCGGCCGTTAGCTTGCAGAGTCCAAAGGAGAAGTTCTAGTAGCTGCTTGGGAAGCCATGGATCATCACGGTCGAGGTGCGCGCAGTGTGCGTGCCAGCTGCCACAGGCTGCGGCGGTGGTGGCAGGGGCAGTGGCAGGGGGCTCCTGTCCCTGCGCCCTGCTGCAGCCCCCTGATTGATTTTTGTGGTACTGAAGATTAAATACAAGATATTTTCACTGAACCACACCCCGTCCCGTCTTTATTTTTTTATTCTTCGGGTTCGGCTAATTCTCTGAGCTTCCCAGGCTGTGCTCAAAATGTGAGCTTCCCAGTGTGCTAGGATTACAGATGTGTACCAGCGCATCTGGCTGAGAATCACTTTCTTAGTTCTACTCAGCTTGTTTCCTTTTCTTGGCCATTGTGACTATTGTGCAATAAACTGTGAAACACTGCCTTCTTCTTCAGATATGTGCCCGGCACTGGGATTGCTGGATCATATAGTAGTTTTAACTTCCTGGAGAATATCCCTACTGTCTCCACAGGGCTGGAGTGTACATCCCACCCCAGTGTGCAAGTGCTTTCTCCTCTCCACATCCTTGCCAGCACTTAGGACAAAAAAAAAAAAAAAAGCCATTGTAGCAAAAGAAAGGTGACAGATTATTACATTTTTATTTGCAGTTCCCTGATATTTGTGATAATGAATATTTTTTCATGCCCTTGTTTGCCCATTTTATGTGTCCTCTTTTTGGGAAATGCCTATTTAGATCTATTGCCCATTTGTTGAGTTGGATTACATGCTTTTTTTGCTATTGAGTTGACTGAATTTCTCATATCTTCTGGATATTAATCCCTTACCTGATGTATATTTTCTCCCATTCTGTAGGCTGTCTCTTCACTCTGTTGATTGTTTCCTTTGCTGCGAAGAAGCTAATCTGATGTGATCCCATTGGTCTATTCTGTCCCCCGCCTCCTCTCCTGTGCTTTGGGGATCTTAGATGAAATCCTTGCCATTCTAATGTCCCAAAGCTCATGTCCTGTGGGGTTTTGTTGTTGTTGTTTGTATTTCAGAGTTTCAAGTTTTACATTTAATTCTTTGATACACTTCTTTGAGATGATTTTTTATATATGATGAGAAATAAGAATTTAGTTTTGTTCTCCTGTTGTCCATATACAACTTTCCCACCATCATTTATTGAAGAGACTACCCTTTTTTCAATGTGTGTTCCTACATCTGTGTTAAAGGCTGACTTTGCTGTAGATTTGTGCGTTTAGTGTACTTCCGGGCTATTCTGTTTCATTTATCTGTGTATCTGCTTTTATGCTGATACCATGTTGTTTTGATTACTGTAGCTTGGTGTTGTGTTTTAAAGTGAAATAGCAAACACCTCCTACTTTGTACACCCAATTTTACTTTAAAAACACGACTATTTAAACAGATAGGAAAACTGACTTTTCTCTAAATCATGGAATGATGAGAGATCTCATTTTTTCTGTGTGTGTAAAGGTTTTAGAATATACAGATTCAAGAAACAGAGCTTTATATTTTCTGCAAACTATAATACTAAAGCACAGCAGCTAGTAAAATTAAATATCTGCCTGTGAGTATCAGGAAAACACAACATTTTAAAACAAAATCAACAAGCGAGAAGCAGTAAGTGGATGCGAGCCTTCTGCAGACGTCAGTCCTGAGGACGCTGCGCTACTCCCCATCAAAGTCTGTAAAGCTATGAGCCAGATGCTGCTGCCTCAGACAGCGAATGACCCGACATGCGCTCGTATGACTGATAATAGCAAATGGAGCAGCTACCCTTCCTGAAACAAGTGTTTTAATCAATGTAAAGAACACTCCAGTTCTTAAGTATCAGAAACCATGTTTAAGGGGCCAGACAGCTAGCTCAGTACCTGCTTAGGCAGAGCACAGTGGCTGGGGTTCAATTCCCAGCATGCCACGCCAGCCCCACCCTCGGGGTGCCCTGAGACTGCAATTGAGACTGGGCGTGGTGATACGTGCCTATAATCTCAGCACTGGGGAGGCTAAAAGCAGGAGGACTGCTACGAGTCTGATCTGTGTAGTGAGACCCTGTAGACTGTACTAAATACATTAAATTAAAAAAAGAAAAAAATCATGTTTAACAATTTTTGAAAAAAATCACAATCTAAAAATGCCCAATTTTCTTTTATGTTCACATAAAACATGCAGCAGCCCAATGGCATTAGGCTTGTTCTCTTATTCTGAGAGCTAGCGAGTGCGTGAGTGGTGTGCTGCACCTTCACTGAACGTCTACAATTCAGTATTGAAGGACACATTCGATCAATGCCTATCACTTCCTTTAGGCTTCTTGCTGCCACAGTTCCAAATGGGTTCATGTAAACAAGACAATGCCCAGGACAGCAGGCTTCGGATCAGCTGGACTGGCAGCTCCAGACAGACACCACTCCTTTTCCAAAGGCAACAGAGGCTGAAAGGCATGTGAAATTTGGGCAGTGGGCAAAAAAGAAACCATGCACATAAAATCTGGGCTATCAGTCCCCAAGTGTATATGCCTCCTAATCACACACCTTCTTGCAACACTATGTCTCACTCGTGTACAAAATAAACCTAAGTTGTTTACAGTGTTTCCCAATTTTTAAATTTTTCTCTAAATTTAGATATTTAAAAAATTTTAATAAGTGGGCTCCTTTGTAGTTCATATGTGAACCTTATATTTTATACAAACGTTTCAAAATTATTGGGTTAATTTCACTTATATC